ATTTCTCTTAATCAGGGCAGGGAGAGTTGAAGGAGATTCGAATTTGGAACATCTCCTGAAATAAAATAAAATAAAAATTATTTTACCAAGAGTTTGTCATGCAACAAACCCGAGGGGCCCCTACTAAGTCCAAACCAATATCAATATTTTTATCAACTTAACCACTTAAGTTCAAAACCATATATGATATGATGTTAATTGACCTATCCAATATGTAGGGTTTTTATCTGAAAGACCTCAGTTCAATTAGTAGTGGATTACATACTTTTAAGCTAAAGATCATTGTGATGACACGATGTAAGATCATAGTCACTCCTACATCCATAATTTGTATATTGAGTCACACAAACCCAGCAGATTAAGTTTGTAAACATAATGCAAACACTTTATGACAAGACTCATGTATGTTACAGTTCAAGGTGAATGCTGCCTTGTTTTGAACTAGGACTTTCTTTCTTCCCATGTATAATAACATTTGTTTGTACTTATTACTAGTTTGGAGACGGGCTGTTAGAATTTTTACATTGGAATGCGAACTAAAATATCTCATTTTCATATTATCTCATTATTTTTTGGATAGCGGTAGCAATTTCATTATTGAAAGGGCAAATACATGATATAGAGAAATAAAGAACATAACTCCAAAAAGGTCCTTGAAAACAATAGAAGAAAAAAAGGTCATTTCCATATCCTCCCATTTAATTCAATCGTAAATGATTATGAAGTCACTTGTATATATATAGAGGGTATATATAGATTTTCCTTTATATAGACTTCCAGACAAAAGCCGCATTAAAACTACTAGCTCATATCACCACAATTAATCATAAGCCTCACAAAGTTCACATACCCATCATAACTAAAACCCTAGAACATTCCATGAGCCCAAACAAACCCTACCATCGGCACCAGAAGAAGCACCATTATGGCCACACCCCCCACTACATCTGTAATAAATATGGGGAAAACATGATTTCTAGTGATCTACGTGCATATAATAGCGAACAAATAAATAAAAACAACTACCTTGACAAAGAAGAATTCGGTGATTTGCAGTAACCTCCATCGAAGACGATGTAGACCCAAATTTAGAGAATATGAGCAGTGTTAGAGAGTGGTTTTTGGGAGAATGATTTGTTTGAGAACGCCTAAAAGGGGTGATGGAGAACTTCAATCTTAGCATGCTCAGAAGAAATTATCACAAAGAGCTTTTTATTTAAAACGCTCCAATTGACTTATTCACTAACCCAAGCGAGGAGAGATGAGCTTTGAAGTTATTAATATTTAAATTGTAGCTATTATTAAACTTTGAAGTTTTATGGCATGTTGAGTTTTTGGATGGAATGATACGCTAGAAAATGAAAAAAAATAGTTAGCAAGTTGTGTGTTTTTTTAGTTGTAATTTGACTAACAATGCTGAAAAAATGCATAGGTAAAAAGAATTGGGCTTAGGCATAAACTGGCAAGACCAAACCTGGTTAAATTGATTTGGTTTGGTTATGTTTGCTCTGAAATTTTATTATAGTTTTAAATCTTTCAATTGGGTTTCTTTGCAGCATTTATTTATTTTTAAGTCAAAATCCCTAATTAAATTTAAACATTACAAGAACTATTTTTTAGTTCGACACAGGACCAAACTTAGGTCTTCATTATTTTTACAATTCAGCTTCTTAGTCCGACGTATTACCAAACGTAGGTCAGTACTTAATCCAGCTTAAGCCAACCGAGTTAATCAAAGATAGTCCCAAGATTTAGTTAAGTCTATGACAGTTCGCCATACCAAACGACCTTTTAGGGCTTGAAATTGGTCATTTGGGTTTAGAGTTGTTCAAAAATAGGGATTAGTGGTTGAATTTTGAGCCTTAATATGAAATGGGAGGAATTTTATACTAGCTTTTACTCTCAAGGATTTTGGATTGACGAAAATTACCCATTGCATTTTTAAAGAAATTGACAGGAATATTAACATGACCTTAAATTGCTACAAATATGAAATTATATGGTTAAAATTGACAAAATTGAAATTATAAGATAAAAAATAATTGAAGTGCCAAATTATAGAGATCAAAAGTGACTTTTGGCCAAAAGAAAAATAGAAACCTGTATTGGATCAAATAGTTTCCCATTTTCTTATAGGAAAAGAATATATTCCTATTGTGCGACGTGGACACTAAGAAATAATGTAACTTTCTTGAATTTCTAAAAACAAGCTGAACCGGGCCTGCCGTCTGATGTTATTCTCCTGTTGGCTACTCCCCCTACGACCACGTGGGTCACCCAGCTATAAGCTTACCCCTCAGAGTCTCCCAGTCTTTACTTCTGATTGGACTGTCACCAGTACCAACGGCACCAATACCAATACCCTCACCACCCCTCCTAAACTCATCTCTCAGCCGTCTGATCCAAATCCAACGCCTACCGCCACTTTCGCTCCCACCGAGGAACATCTGTATCACGTATATGTTGCCTTTTGTCTTACCCACATGGATTCTCTCCTCACACAACTATCCTGCCCCGGGAGCCGTTAGATCGGAAATCAACGGTGGGGAGCGGTTGTGGTAACAATGAGGCGTAACTGCGAGTGAGAGTGAGAAGATGACAGGATTTTTCCGTACGAAAGGTGAGCGAGTTAAGTCTTTGTTATCGGTAATCAGAAACAAACCATTGTCGCCAAGCAAAAGATATCTGACGGTCGACAATCCAAGCTAGCCTGGCCACTAGATCAGATCAGGTCAGATCAGAAGGGGTACAATCCGCAGGTGACGTAATCTCCAGTTGCCCGTATACACAGTATAGTGTGCTCTCTGTTCGATAATTGTCTGCCAATCGGTGGCTTACACGTCAGGTCTGGTGGGGCCAGCAGGCCTACATGATTTAAAGGGCCCACTGGGTAAAAGAGGAATGCTCGGAATCCATACACGCTTTGACTATTTGGGGTTTTAATCGTCGACAGTGACGTTGGATAATTGCAAATATCAATAGGTGTACAAATTCAGCCTAACACTCGAAGGAAAAGTGTATAAAACACTAGGTTTCAAAACTTTTTTTCTTTTTTGAGCAGTTAAAGCAATTGGTTTTAAGATGGGTTTAAACTCAACTAGCACATATTAACCATATGATATAGACCACATTAGATGGTCTTGATTGTGTTAATAAATTTCTTTTTTTTAAAACCTCAATAGTACGAGGGAAAATTTTATTTAATTAAGCAAACTAATACGATGGGAACATAAAACCCAACTCCGGTCCAATAATTCTTCTAAAAGGACGTCCTGTGCAAACGCATGAGACAACTCTAACCAAGACAAACTCATCTATGTCATATGCACAAAGTATGCAAATTGTGTTAATTGTAATATTATTTTTTTTTTTTTTTTTTTTTTGTTTGGACAAAAGCGTATTGTTAATACTTAATATAATAGTTTACGTCTTTAAGTTCTAACAATTGCAGCCTATTAATACACTAGAAAAGCTCTTCAAAACCAATAGTTTAATAACTTTTATGTCACCACTAATTAAACCCATGATTTGACAGTACGATCATAAAGGGTGAACAAATAGTAATTGCTCAAAGTAGAGGTGATACCAAAAAACACTATTTGAAGGCACTCACATACACCAATGTATTGAGTGTTTCCTAGGACCACCACACGCCTTTCGCTTTTTTTTTTTTTTTTTTTTTTTTTTTTTCTCTCTCCGCCAGAAAAGAGAGGTGAAATTTCGGTTCATGGGACCCTTTTCCTCTCACAAATTAAATATTCCTAAAAAAACCATTCACGGACACCCATTTTCTTACCCTCCGATCTTTTCGCCGTTAAATCCAACGGCTACGGCTGCTCAGAATCAGGACATTTAGCTCAAGTACCTGCCCTCTCTGCTAACAAGAGCGTGCTCTCAACGTCAACTAAGGCTTCAAACGCCAGCTCTTTTTTGGTTCCACAATTGTGCTCTCTCCAACCCCAAAAAAAAAAAAAAAAAAAAAACACAAAAAAAAAAACAAACAACCGGAGAAAAAGTACCGGATCCAAGCTCTCAACTGGGTAGGTCTTTTAATTGAGATCTCAGAAGCAAAAACACAATTCACAGGTATTTAATCATTTAATGAACTCTTTTTTGGTGTTCTTCAATTTATATAGCTGCAGTGGTTGTTGCTGTTCTTTCATTTACTCTCTGTGTGATGAAGATCTACTTACAGCTCTGAATATAGACTGCTAATTATGCCATGAATGAAGAATTATGATGTCATAAATTTGTGCTTGTAATTAAGGAAGCAGCTTTTTTTTTTTCTTTTTTTCTTCTTTTTTTTCTTTCTGTTTTTTGGTGTGAATTGTGGAGCATACAACAATTATATGGATAAGGTTGTGAGTTGGGTTGGCACGAAAAGCTCCATTTCTTGGATCTACATGGATGCGAGCATGGCTTCTTAGGGTTAACGATGTAGAATTAGGGTTTCACGAGGAGGGAGACGTAGTATTATTCTGTATTTATTTATTTACATATATTTGTATGGTGATTTTGGGTGAGTGTGTAAAATTTTTATTTTACGTACGTGTGGTTTTCTTTTCTCTGTCTTTGTTTCTACTATTTTTGAACGAGTGGTGGCTTAATGATATGTGTACAGGTTTGTGCATCGATAAGGTTTCTGTTGCCGACAAGTTCAAAGCTCAATAGCAAAAGCACTGTTGCTGGGAAAGTCCTCCACAAGCAGTAGTTCAAATCTAATACCAAAAGCTAATGAGTTCCTGACAAGCACTCGAGGCAATAAATTCACTCTCTCCCTCCCTCATTTTTGCTTTGTTGTTGTTGTGTTTTGTTTATTTATTTATTTTACTTCATCATCTGGAGAAGAAAACTCATGCATTATTTTCTTTGATTATTACAGTGCTTGGAATTTCGACATGCGTGTTCTTTGTTGAGGAATCGAAAACATTGGAGGAATTTTTTTAGTGGGGTTTTTAATTCATCAAGGAAAAGTAGCGATCTCGGTGATTTTTTAGTGGATGGAGATGAGTGGCTTTAGGCCGGAATTACATGTAGCACAGCAAAGCAGGCGAGATAAGTTGAGAGTTCATCAAACTTCGAGCCCACCTCCCCATTTAGATTCTGAAAAATTACCACTCCACCCGGGACTGAACCCAGATATTGTTCAAGTTCGGAATGTGAGAAATGCCAATTTGCTCTATGATCCGACTGTGTTTTCCTCCGAGATGCTCAATTTTTCGATCAACACGAATACGCTGTCGGGTCAAGGTTCTGGTGAGTCTGAGAATTTTGGTAACTGGAGGAGTCTGAATCCACCTCAAAGCTTAGATTGGGTGACAAATTACACAAGTGGTTCAGTGGGTAGTGGAAGTAATAATCAGAATCACATGTTTGGTAGTAGGGAAGCAAACAATAACATGTCTCCATCCACACCGCATTTATTAAAGCCTAGTAGTTTCCATGGGTATCAAGATGTGCAGTCTAGTTTGGCTAACCAGTCTGCTGAGATTTCTAGCCACCATGCTAGCCAAAAGCACTTGGGAACGATGCATTTTTCTTCTCCTCCACTAAATTACCTTAATACCCTCCAGGATGTTGTCACTTCAGCTTCTACGGGCGGCCAGGATCAGCTAGAAATGGCTTCACTTGTGCAGCAAAGAATCATGGAAAATGAACTTGTGCTTCTTCCAAGCTATGTGAATCAGTCGAACACATTACGCTTCGATAATGCTAGTAGTAATTCTTGGATGAATCGGCAGCCTGTCGAGAATCGCCATCACTGGAGTAGTGGTGGTGGTGGTGGAATGGGTTTTAGTACTGCTAAAAATGTTGATGAAGACATGAGGAATGGGATGAGTAATGATTCCAATCAACAAGGGCTTTCTCTGTCACTGTCATCAAATCCACCATCTAATAACAAACTGCCTGCGGCTCAATTTGGGTCTCAAGATTTACATGCAAGCTCTCATGATGATCGTGCTTTTAAGGATGTTCAAAGTCCGAAAGCCGGGAAATCTTCTGCAGATTACTTATGTTCCATAACCAAGCCATCTATAATTAGCAAAGCTTGTGGAAAGTCTCTTCAAGACATTGTGGGGACTTCTACTAGCGCTTCTCGAAGCACCGGTCCTCTTGGTCCTTTCACTGGTTATGCAACTATTTTGAAGAGCTCCAAGTTCTTGAAACCAGCCCAACAATTATTGGATGAATTCTGTAGAAATAGTGATTCAAAGCTAACCAAATCACGTGAGGCATCTGAGAGGATGTCTGGAGATGTCAGTGCTTCTGCTTCAGTTTCGGTTTCTACTGATGCTGCAAATGCAGTTGAAACTGAAGCAGTAGCTAAGGGTAACAATTCTGGTGCTTCTTCTTCTACGTTTTACGGTTCAAATGAAATTACCAGTGATGGTGGAGCTGCAAGCATATCTTCTGGGTCATTTGGGCCTGAGTACCAACAAAAGAAAGCAAAGCTTCTTTATATGCAGGAGGAGGTTAGTGATTTTTTTTTGGTCATCTCTCCTTTATTTGTCAATATGGTATTCATTTAATTTTGTTTTATACATTGGTTCTTGATAAAGGCATGGTAAATTATTAATCAGTTTTGAGTTCGCATTGGAAGACTCTCATGCATGCTCTATGCATCTCTAAATACCTATATGGCAGTTAGTGTCACATAAATAGCTATGCATTTCTAACTCTGAATTAGTGAATTAGTTTGAGGAAGATGCAATTGTTAAAATAATTTTTATGATTAAAGAGCAAAGAGTTTTATTTAAATAGAGCATTGGGAATGGAGAAGAGTGTTTTATTTCAGAATTACTTTATTATTATTATTATATATATTACCAGTGTAATGTACAATTGTTCTGGACATTTCAATATAATGATAATATATATATATATATAAAGAGTCATTCTTATAGACTTTGGTTCCTTGATAATTGGCTTTTTAGGGGCTTAGAGTACTCATTAATTAACAAGTTTAGGAATTGACCACTGTTTTAGTGCAACTCTAGCCTCGTCAACTGTGTTGGGTGGATATTTAATCGCTATTGTGGGGCCTTGATTATGACTTGATTAGAGTTTTGTGCAAAAGTCAGATTGATTAGATGGTCATTAAAATCATGCTAAATATTAAACGCCGTTGTCACTTCTTTTTTCAGGATTTTAAAATTAACACATACTAAATTCCTTTAATTTTAGCCGGAGAAATGTCTCTCGTCACAAGCTCGAGTGGTAAGCATAATCTTATATCAGAGCACCCTTAACTTGGCCGTCATTTGGACAGCTTGGTAACTTGAGATGAGATTTTGCAGCTACACTAACGCAACCCTTTCATCTTATTCAAGTACGAGCTTTTACGAAATTCACTTGGTAGAATATGCTTAAGGGTGAAATGCTTAAAACACTGCAACACTTGAACATGATTTGAGACACTATGTAAACATTTGGGTACCATGACTGGTTTGTAGAGGACCCTAGAAAAGACCTCAAGGACCAGTGAAGTAAATTGGCTCTAATACCATAAAAAATTGACAGTTTTGATTAGACAGGAGAAATTTTTGAGTGTGAGTCACACTACCACGTGGTGGTACTAATCTTGTGTTATAATACGGGTGGACGACATGCATGGTCGATATGTCATGAACTTAGGGTACCCAGTCTTTTGATCTTTCGTACTCACCAATCACCAATTAGCACGAAAATTCATGCACACAAGAAGTTAGCTCACAATCCAACCACCGACGTTTGTCAAGAAGGAAAAACAAACCAAACTTATCCACTGTTGATTTTAGTCAAATGAAATGATTGATGAGCATTGATGTTGTGTTCACGAGTTAATATTTATGTAACATCCCCAATGCATGGTGAAGTAGAAACAGAGACCCTAATATAAGACTCCTCACTTTCAGAATAAACATAATGTGTTTGGTAAGTAGAAAAAAAGGATGGCCTGTAGGATTTTTATGCAGCCATTTATCTTCCCAATTCAAGATTTCAATAGGCTAGATATTGTGGACTAATATAAAGCATTCTTCTATGACTATTTTGTGCTAATGTTTTTTCCCCCCCTTCGTTTTGGTTTTAACATGGTATCAAATTTGAAGTTAACCCTGTTCCTCGCTCTCTAACGCTTCTCCACATTCGATAATGAGACAACTTTGATGGTCCTAATAAGTTATATTTTGATTTCATCATTGAATTAGCTAGTCCTTTATAGGTATATCTTAGCAGAGGAAATATGTCATGTGATGTGTAGTTACATGACATGCTTAAATCGGGTGTTGGCATGCAAAATATGCAGCCCTCTTGAAGTTCTTGGTCTCGTAGGTTTGTTGCACATAAATTCCTAAGAATTATGCTCACAGTTAAGCACTTGATGAATGATTTCTACTGTCTTTTTGATGTGCTACTTTCCCTTTTTTTTTTCTTCCAATTTTCTAAGTTTGTTTTTAGTACAAGCGATTGGGGAGGGAGTTTTCGAACCTCTTATCCACATGGGTGGAGGTGGAAGACCTTAACCAACTGAGCTATACCCTACTGTCCCGATTTTCTATATTTGTATACCAGAAGTCCGTGAAGATAAACTAACTTCCTCTTTCGCTGTGTTTCTATATATTAATACATTACATGTTGACGATGACTTGACATGCAGCACTTTGGTCACATACATAAAAAGAAGTATATGTTTGTAAGGAAGATGGCCCACATTTTCGTTAGACATCCGCTTAATGTAGACGTTCTTCTGCTTAATGTCCAAGCCTTAATTATTAATGGGTTAAATTCAAAGCTGTTTGGTGTACATGTAGGACCGTGGCAATTAGCTAGATTTCCAACTTAACAGTACACACCACTTATTTTTCCTGTCACTTTATAAAGGCTTTGTCTTCTTGGAATGGCTAACGACCACATTATTGGGTTGAAAAGAAGCATCCTTTCTGATTGCCGACATCATTTTTCAAGTTGGTTAGCTATCACTATTAATTTTTCGTATTTTTGCCAAAAGTTTGGTGCCGTACCCAGAAAATTGTAATTGCAGTTCAAAACTTTCTTTTGTGTCAGACTTTGGTGAAGCAATTGTCCTGCAATCAATAAAAGTAGTTGTAACATTATAATTTTTTTTTTCATCGCATTGTTGGGCGTTTTTCGTTGAACCCTTATACATTGATACGTCGAGTAATTGATTAATAAATGTGATATAGAGTTAATTGGATATTCCGATAGTGAGTATTATTTAAATTTTAGTGGATAAGCTATGTTGTTAAGATGAAGTGTTGAATTGATTTGAGTACCATTTTGGTAATTCTTGTTGTGCCATTGAAAGGTTTGCAGAAGGTACAAGCAATATCATCAACAAATGCAAATGGTGGTCTCTTCCTTCGAGTCGGTTGCCGGTCTAAGTTCTGCCACACCTTACATATCCATGGCTCTCGGTACAGTGTCAAGACACTTCAGGTGTCTCACGAATGCCATCAAAGACCAGCTCAAGCACATAAGGAAAGCTTTGGGAGAGGAATATTTGTCATCAGCTATAACTACTGGTACTACTGGGTGCAGTAGTAGTAAAGGGGATAAAAACTTTGCCAAGCTAAAGTTCATGGGCCTCGGCTTCCAAAAGCATAATAAATCTGGTGGTGGGGCCCATCTGGGTTTCTCTGAACCCCAACAACACGTCTGGAGGCCCCAGAGAGGCCTACCTGAACGTTCAGTGGCCATTCTTAGAGCTTGGCTCTTTGAGCATTTTCTTCATCCGTACGTACCCCATCTCTCTCACTCACTCTCTCTCTCTCTTCCCTAATAAATTATCTCTCTCTCTCTCTCTCTCTTCTAATCAATTATTTTTTCTATTGTGGTGTAATTAGGTATCCCACGGACACAGATAAGCACATGTTAGCCACTCAAACGGGTCTATCTCGAAACCAGGTAGGGTCACCTGCTTTATATCTAATTATCATGTCTAAAGTTCTTAATCAAGTTGATTACTTCTTTGCTAGAATTGATCAAATTGAATTTGCAATTATAGCATTTGTTAATTAAATTACTGTATAGGTAATATTCACAGAATCACAGAAATGGGGCCTTTAGTTTGCATTGACGCCCGACTTTTCAGCTGCACATCTTCTGCTATTGTACATTTGCGTTGAGCCTATTTTTGCATTTATTAAGACTTATGTTAATTGTCCATTAGAAAGATGGTACGTACGATACATGGTCAGTCGAGATGATAAAAATTGTTCTATTCATGCTTTTCTACTGTTGATTGTATCTAGCTTTTGGTCCTTAGGTTGCAGGAGTTCCCTTTATGAAAATTCAGTACTTTTCACGTTCCAATTACGGCTCATGCTACGAATATTATTAATTAGACTTATGTGCTAACTTCTTGATTGTATTCAGATCATATGCATAATGGTTATTATTCTGATAATGACATAATTACTAACTATAATGCAGGTGTCCAACTGGTTCATAAACGCTAGGGTGCGTGTTTGGAAGCCTATGGTTGAAGAAATACACATGCTTGAGACTAGAGGAGGCTCTGTCGAAGCGAGCCAAGATCCCACCAAGAAGGATGGAAATTCTTTAACTGAAGGTACCAGCAGCAGGCCAGACAACGAGCACCAACTTGGCATAAATAATATGATGCATGATAGACAACTGGAATGCTCAGGAGATGAAGAACAGCAATATCAGGAGATCAAGAGGTCCAGAATGGAGTGTCAAGTTCCATCAAGCATGGACGGTGGATTGATGGGGTTTGTCCCGTACCAGCGAAGCGGGCTTGAGGTTGGGGGACTCGGCGCCGTGTCCCTTACATTGGGTCTAAGACATGGGGTGGAAAGTGCCCAACAACAGCAGCAGCAACAATTGCAGCAACAGGAGGATCAGCTTCGGCGGCAACTTGGAAGTCAAATGATTCGTGATTTTGTGGGTTAATTTAGAAGTAGCAGAAAATAAGAGGATGAAGATATAGCTCCGCTCGCTAATTATCTGGGCTCCCATTTTGGTAGGTCATGTAAAAAACTAAAATATATTTATATATATAGTGGTGGATTAGCAGTCAGGTGGGTAAAATTGGTGAGGATTAAAGCTGTGTGACATAGAGGCAGGGAGTGTATCTCGAATGGAATTTGGAGGAGGTTAGGTTTTCGTAACGTACCATTCTGTTGATCAAGTGATTTGTGGTAGAATGCTCACTGTTGAAAATTTGGCGACAGGTTGTGAAAGATATTTTGTCACATGGAAAGTTGTATGTCTAACAAAAACGCATAGAAGCAAATGAAAACAAAAAAAGAGGTTAAATTTGTTCCACTGCAGGCCCAGTTATCCGCGCCCACAGTGTTGACTTCATTTCACACAATGTAGCATCAAGAAATAGGTAGGCTTTGTTGCCCACAAAAGGCTCTATGAGCTTGGGTTGCACGGATTGGTTTGGTTGGGCCAAATTAATTGAGTCAACATGCAGAACGATAATTTAGTGTAGTGCAATCAATTCTGTTTCTTTAACTCATGCATGCGTTTTCCTTTTAGCTAGCGAAAGGAAAAGCTAACCCTAGTCCCCTGGTTTGGGGAGGGTATTCGATTTGGCAAATTAAATTGTTGTTGTCGGTTTGGCACCGGTGAACGTTATGTTAGTTCGGTTATTGTGGTTTGTCTGTTTGAGGGGTGGGGGGGATATTGGATGTAACATCGACCGAAGGTGTTGAGGTTGGAAATAATGAGATAGGGTATGGATTTTTTGATCAAGTGCGTGAAAGATGCAACAGATGAAGTAAATTTGAAATATATATCTATTTGGTTCGAGTTCAATGGTCATTTAATTGAGTGAGTCGTCAATTGAACCTTTTGAAGAACTTTTGACTTTATTTTTTATCAAAATTTGCACGTTTTGACTTTATTCAATTCAAATTGCCAATCGGTTGTCTAATAACTTCCCATGCTATTACATTTGTTTGTTTGTTTTTTTGGTTTGTTTCCTATGATTTTATACAACGATTTTAACTATAAAACCAACCATAATGCTTTATTAATGAATATATATATATATTAAAAAATTGTTTATTTCATAAAACTTGAAGATTCAATAGTGATTACATATTTAACTAATCTTTATTCCTACCACATCTATAGCATTAACCTAGAATTAAAAATAATGGAGCTACATGTGATTGCTCACAAATTCTACCAATTCAATCTTAACTTCATCAATTTGTTCTTGAGTTAATTCTTGCACATTTTCCAAGCTTTTGTATTCCCCCATGTAACGGTATCAGCAACAGGTCCCTTCGTAGCAATATCTGTTGTGAGTTTTAGATACTTGCAAAACAGAGGTTAATTTAAACACAAATTATACTCGTAAGTGCACAAGGTCAATCAAAATTTAGTAAGGCAAGCACGAGGTCATTCTTATGGACTGATTTCTTAACTTCGAAGTAATTAAACCTAATTTAACTTAACAAACACTAAGACAAATTAAAATGGAATTGAAACATATAACTTACACACAAAAAAACACAAACGGGATTTTTAAATAATTGATTTGAAGGCAAATAAGAAAATAACTAATTAAGCCAAGCTATAAACACAACCACGTCATAAAACTACAATATGTCCACTTGCAAGCAATAACATTAAATTTCACACAAAGTTTGCAAATGAAACACCACCTTGCAAGCAAAAAGGGCAGAGAGGGCATACCTCAACCAATAGCGAAACAACAAACATCTTTCAAAGGGATTTACATAAATGTACAAGCCCAAACACAAACACAAAGAAATTAGAAAACCAAAATTCATGAGACCTAAACAATTGCTTGTTGGAATATTTATTTAAACTAAGCACTCAAATGAACAAACACAAAGTAAATATTGAAGGGAAACTAAGAACAAAAAAACAACAGAGGAGGGAGAGGTACAAAACACGAAGATGCACACTGAAATCCACACTTGCAAAAAACAAAAACAAAATCCACATAATAATCAAACCCATTGATACAGATAAAAGGGTGGAGAAAGCTAAGCCAGTAGAACATAACCCTAGAAATAGATTCTTGCCCAAATAAACCCTATAGAAAAAAGGAAGAGGATGAAATTTCTGTTTTAGATCCTCTAATTTGTGTGTCTAACTTGGGTATTTAAGAAATAGTGGAAGAAGTTAGGGATTTTGATATTTGGGAATCAATGAAAATGAGAGAAAGAGAGGGAGAGGGTGAGGAGGCTAACCTTGAAGATGTTGAACACCACCTACCAGAGAACGCTGACACACGAATTTGGAAAGGGAAGTAACGTGATGGAAATGGCGAGTTCGGTGAGCTCGTAATGTCGACACTGCGAGCTTGGTGGCCTGGACAGCGCGAGGGAGATTGTGCTTCAGATATGTGATAGAGAGATGAGATTGGAAGTACTTATAATGAGGCAGAGCTCGGTGACCTCCTATGACGGCGAGCTAGGTGACGACGGTAGCCAAGGGGCTCATCAAGTAGCTGCGAACATAAATGCAAAGGTGACCTCCTCTGCTGGCGAGCTCGGTGACAACGACAACGAACAATTAGATTTGTTTAAGAGACTGAGAGGATGAGATGAGAGGGAATGTTGAAGAGAGTTGAGGGAGTTTCAGAGAGTTGAGGAGGGTTTCAAAAATGACACTTGTTTAATTGACAACGTCGTGTTTTTAAAATCAACCCAACACAACTTGTTTTTAGCGGTGCATTAGATCATATACCACGGCGATTTTGTAAAAACGTCATCCATAACATCTTGTATTTGGTATCGTGGTTTAAGGATATTGTAGTAGTGCCTATCAGTCCTTCAATTATTGGAGTTAATATTATCATCTCCTCGTAATAAAACCATTTGTTCTCCATTCGGATTATGTTCTATAGTTCATCTCCATAGCCAACACATAAACTCAGCAATACTTGTTCTTCTTGGGTTGAACTTCTTCAAGCCAACAACTTTAATAACTTCCATGCAGGTATGCTAATGAAACTGAAGGATCTTATTATGGCCTTATCTTTTATTATAGGTCTCTTAATTTGCGTTAAGAAACATATAAAAAAGGAAGAGCTTGCAATAAAGATGCATATATATATATATATATGCATGCGTATCATTGGAAAGTATATTTGTCCGATCTAAAAACCAAGATTCAGCATTACGAATATTATTTTATACCTTAATCACATAACCATATAAACAAAAATACAAACTGTTTTATTCAGAGTTACACCATATGCCCCAAACCCAAGCATAAACTATACTATATATGGATCGGGTACACTATTGCTTATATATACAAACATATATCTATATATATAAACACACACAAACAGCTCTTACGTACCCATACCGTATCAACTCATTACTTATAAGTTAAGTAATATTTTTTAGCCACCGCCATTATCGTTATCACTGCCACCCTTGTTGTTGAAGTCCTGCCAAGGGAGGTGATGGTGGTTGTTGACACTGCTTCCAGGATACCCATCATACCCTCCTTGGCCGACCTCCGCCTCCTCACCTAGCTCCCGGCCGTGCAAATATCCATCATGTTCATTTGACGTCTTCGCTGCGGCAAAGGAAGAGCTCGCCACCATCAAAATTAGGGCAAGAGCCAAGAGTTTCATTGTTGACCAGCTTTTGTATTTCCTCTGTTACCCAAAAAATGATACTGGATGTGGATGAGGCTGAAGAAGTTTAATCAGATCATTTATATAGAGGCATGCTAGCTAGGGTTTTTCTGATTGACAGTTTTAATATATATAATGGATAAATTTGGTTGGTTGAGGTCTCCACCTATTGATGCAATACTAAGTGGGATGCCCACAAAATCTGATAGAGATTATATTAAATATATCTGATAGCAATATTTGTTGCCTCATTCATCACAAGCGAAATAATTGTTTTGTCTCTTTGGTGCTATAAATAGGAAAACTCCACCTACTCAGCGACGGAAGGCTAAGCATAGCAACAACAACAAAAGTCAATCAAGCACAATTGAGCCTGTTGCGTTGTATTCTTCTGTAACGTCAGAGCCAATATAGTAGTGATTTGGCTTCGACATATGGCTTTAATTCATTTTAGGGCAAATGTCTCTGCGTTTAATGATTTCGAGTTGCTTATTTTATTATTTGAGGTGAGCCACTCAAAACCCGATTGGATTTCAATATCTTTTTTTTTTCTTTATTACATTGGAGGAAAGAAATCCCACTGGGTTTCGATTTTGAGTGTCATGGGAGGAAGGGGGAATTCACCACCAGTGTGGTGAGAACCCATTGGATTTCAGTCTTTTTGCCACTAATTAAACATGGTAAGAATATTGAGCTTCACACACGTTGCTTTGCTTTATAATTCTCACCTATGGATATTGACTTTAAATATACAATTTGCTTAATTAAGATGTGATTAGGAGATAATATGAGTACTGAAATCCTTGTAACATAATAATAATCGGATATGAATATTAAAGAATAAGACACTGCAGTTCCATTTGATTTTTTGACTTGAAACCCAGATTTGATACCAAAATAAAAAAGAAAAGAAAAGAAAAGAAAGGACGGAAACGTTCGAGAGAACTTGGTCATCTTTTGAAATTGGGCTAATCTTAGGTTGCTGCGTGTCTTTCATAATCTGGATTCTAGACAACATATTTTTGTATGCTTTACGAAATTATGGAAAGATGTTTTACAAATTCATGAACTTTGTTGAAAAATTTGACCAAGTTAAAGCAGTGAAGGCCCGAATTCTAGCTTTAGCCAGGCCCAGGTGCACGTCTGGGTACCGTAGCGCCTTGGTGGAAGAGATATGGGTGTCTCAAGCAGCCCATCCCAGAGGGGAAGGGGCATGGGAGCTGGGGGTTAATTTATAGCTTGTGTGTAGACTCCATGTCAGCATAAAATTGAGGCCTACATTTGCCACATCAAAATTTAATAGTTTTATTAATCGTTTGACTAGCGGTGGGAAGAAATTATAGAAAGTATTGTACTACCACTTCAGCTTGTGATACTCCTATTAGAACATAGAAGACGAGAGAATCCACCTCCCAACCCAACCCAATGCCCCTGCACCGCTACCGCACTGCCTCCCCTTTCTGCCCATCCCTATCTTCTCCCTCCTCTCTCTCTCTCTCTCTCTCTCTCTAAAACTGCAAGATCTCTTGAACCCGTGAATGAACCTGCAAGATCTCATCAGCATTGAAAGGGTCCAATTTCATTCAATTACCACTAACATACACCTCCCACCCCAACTTTCTTCACATCTGATGGCAATTTGAAAATTAGAAATTAGTGAGAAAAAAAAAAAAACGGTAGCCACCAAAAGAATGAGAAGAGGATTGAACAGTAATTAAGCAGTTGAAGTGCGTGAGAGAGAGAGAGAGAGAGGGAGTGGGCAGCAGCCACGAAGCCAACACGAGGTCGACGACGGGTCGGGGTGGGTGGTGTGGCTCTTTTATTTTTTATTTTTTTTATTTTTTAGTTTTATTCAAAAGATAATAATTAGCTTCCAAGTCTAGCGGAAAAAAATTTAAATTAATATTCCTAACATATTTTTAATGGGAGTATCACAAACTGAGGTGGTAATACAATACTACTCTATAATTTCTCAACGGTGGGAGAAATTTGTAGGGTTTATAAGAGTTTGTGAATGCGTATATATATAGCCAATCATGGCGCGCCTTATTAACGCTTACGGCAAGCGAATGCACACGAAAAAGAAAAATAATTTTTACGGCTTGGCCTTTCGTGATATGCAACTGAATGCCTTGAATTGTCATTTACGGTGCCCAACGCACAGAGTAAATACTCAAATTTCTTGTAGTGGATGCATATTTGTAAGAGCCCTAGCTGTACAATTCTTTGAATAGAAATCGACACATTCTTCTTCCCATATTCAGAAATGGTCTTTCTCTCTTTAGTAAGAATCTCACATTAGTAAATGAAGGGGAAGTCAAGAATTGAAACCATTCCAACATCCATACTCTATTAAATAAAGGAGAAGTAAAAATGAGAATCATTCCAATACCAATTCTTTGATAAAGTGGAAAGCAAAAACAGCAGCCTGCAAGTTTCTCCAAACCAATGGAGAGAGGGAGAGATGGAGAGGAGAAGAAGAAAAAAAGAGAGGGATAGATGGAGAAGAAGAAGAAGAAGAAGAGGAGGAGGAGGAGAAAAAGAAGAGAGAGAGACGAAGAAGAAGGAAAAAGAGAGAGAGAGAGAGAGAGAGAGAGAGAGAGAGAGGGAGTGAAGACAGTCGTTAGAAGAAAAAGAAAAAAGAATAAAAAAAGAGAGAAGACAAGATGCATGTGTGTGTTGTGGGTTTTTAAAAAAAATTCGGTTAGGCATGTGTGTCGGCATGCCCAACAACAAAAGCCAGCTTTTTTTTTACTTCTTTAAACTATGTATTATATATATATATATATATTTATAATAATATTAATATTTTGTTAATATCATCGGTTTGGTTTGGTTAAATTGTAGTTTTGAATTTTGTAAATTGTACAACGAACCATATATTTCGGTTTGGTTTGAGTTCAAACCGATGACCAAAAAAAGATTGAAAAAAAACCAAACTAACCCAAACCATTGGTTTGGTTTGGACGGTTTGACCGGGTTACCGGTTTGAATGCCCAGCCCTATGTTTAATAGTCCCCTTCTAAGGAGGTGTTTTTGGTGGGGCCGGTATTAACAATCTCATCTAAGAACAGGATTAGATGAAATAAATATGGTACTAAATTTAGTCCAAGTCAGGCCAAACCAAGACTGTGTAACAAACGACCCCCTAATTACATGATACTAAATTGTAATTAACTCTATTTTAATTGCACACCACATATATTCAATATAAAATGTCAAGTGGTTATTGTCAACATTTGTGTTCAACAGTGAAAAATATAAAAATAAAAATAATTTGTGTCAAACAAGAAGTCAAAGTTCCCATAAAATTCAGTGTGTGAAGGTTTGATTTGGGGTTGGTTGAGACTAGGGAAGCTCATAACACGATCCACCTGAAGTTTTCTTTAATATTCCATGATTTCTTGTTGTTTCTTTCCAAACACGATGCAAAATATAGTCAAAGTAACAATAATATTAGACTAGAGCATATCAAAACTACACCACGTATTGCTTCTTTTGACATTTAAAAACAAACTCTTGAAAAGGATTTGCCTTAGGTCTTTAGCCCAATAAAAAACCTCTGTATATTTAAGCACAAGTGACATCTTATTATCACAGTTAATTACTTATAATACTAGGTTTTTATAATAAGTCCATTTTAACATGACATATTATACAAAACCCATATAGAGTATTTGGAGAGAAAAACCTAAAACTAGTCACTTGTCATTTTCTAATTGGTTCTTAGTGTGTTCAAATTTTCTAAAAATTAATTAGAAAATGACAAGTTGCTAGTTTTGGATTTTTCTCTCAAAATATACTCTATAAGGGTTTTTGTATAGGGTGCTGATTTTCCCACTCCCCTTTTTGTCCACTTACACTCCCATTTATTTATTTTAATGCTTTTTATTATAACATAAAAAGTAGTGTAAATGGACAAAAAAAGAGTAGAAAAATTAGCACCCTTTTGTGGAAAGCCCTAAAAAAATACACAAGTTTCAACTGGGACAGGTCAAAGAGATGGTAAGAATGATTTGTCTATATCCTTTTTTCTAATTATAATATTTTTGCATCCCACATGATACACTAGGAAATCCAAGAGAACTAAACAACAAGTTCAAATTCGACCAAAAAAACAACAAATTCAAATTCGACCAAAAAAACAACAAATTCAAAGAGCAAAGCAAAATTAGAATAACAAACTCATTCTTTGTTTTTGAATAAGGAATGGTAAAGTATTATAAATCATGAAAGTGCACATCTTAAGCCCACTTTGGAGGGTCAATGGTCAGGCGGCTATTACGTATGAGCTACAATTGTGTCAAGATCATCGACTAGAGCATTGTTTTAGTAGGAAAAAATATTAAAACACATAAAATAATTTCAAATGTGTCGATTCTTTCACAGGATTTACACCGGCATTAAGCTTGCATTTTCTCACACTCAAGATGACCAATGACATGCTCAAAGTATATTTATGTTTTGAAATCGAATGGCACGTGAGTAAACTTAATTAATATATATTTTCTTTGTTGAATAAATTAGGCATATCCCCTGAAAAATAAAAAAACTAAAATCTTCAATTTTATTTGAATATAAAAAAAAACATAAAATTTGGAGCTCATAACATTTGTCACCTCAGTTTCACCACCTTACCATGCATGACCACCACCAAAATCACCCCCACCAGCATCACCTCCACCACCACCACTACTATAACACTTCTACCAACCACACTCATTTATAAATTATTCACCTATAAAGAAAAACTTTAAATTTCATTTTTTGTTTTAAATTTCTTTGTCGAAACTCAGGATTAGGTGCCCAATGGTTATTTTTAAAAGATTTGGTGTGGTTCATATTTATTTTGGGGTTCACCCGAGCATGGGCGATTGGCAAGTACTTACTTTCTTTCATTTCTCTTTATTTTTATAAGAGAAAAAAATATATTTGATCACTATTATTAATTAGAATCGAAAATGATTTTGGCCACCATGATTTCAATTCTCCCAATGTCGTCACTGTAATTCGATCACCTCTCTGAAATTAGTTCCCACAATACATTGTATATGTCGGAACACGACTTCCATTCAAAAAATTTACAGCGGGATTTTTGTCCCCAAGTTTGACATTTTCTTTTTCTTGCAAATCTTTTGGTCCCAACCATTCCAAAGTGGAATCGTTTTCAATGCTGATACAGTGCAACAGAGAACTCACATGGGAGAATTGGAGTTGAAGTTCCCTTTGACCTTCCGGCGGCCATGGATGGTTCAGAATTTGACTCTATAATTCAACTAACTAGTTAATTTACGAACTGGTCTACATAGCTATTTTAGAAATAATAAAAGTGTTATTAATTGTCAAATATGAAAGATTAGTTTGTTTAATTTTTTCATTAGAAGGGAATGAGATTTGAACTTGAGATCCCTTCAAATAGACAAAACGAAGACAAATAGGGAAAACTTTTTTATTGATTCGTTTTGTTATGATTTTCCTCCAAACATCACAGGTGGCTAGATCTTAGCGTCAGAACTCCTCATGTGTTTCAGCATTGGATCTCCACTACCATCCTTTTTGCAGTTTCTTTATATTCGGAATAAGTCGCAGAGATTCTTTGGGTTCTTTGTGTAGTTTTCACCTATCCTTTGTGAGGGCTTTTCATGTTTCCTTTGTGAGAGATTTTTATCTCTCATTTATGAGAGTTTTATTTGTATTGTTATGACTTGGTTTTTTCAAACTTTATCTCTTTTGATTATTTTGCGTTTGCAATCTTAGTTTGGATGCCTATGCCAGAGTTTCTTCGATCCTGCGTGATTGTTAGTGGAGGCGCACCAAATTATCTTAATTTTGATGTTAGACAGCTCCGTTATTGTAATGACCCTTTGTAGCTAGTTTGTATTGGTCTCTTGTGGTTAGTGATTTTTTTGGCTGAATATAAATGCAATCCTAGAATTTCTCAATAAAAAACAAGTAAATCACAAACAGACTATAGGTAGAACCTCGTACATCACCTTCAAACCACCAACCACCCAACTATTAAACCTATTCATGTTTAAACCAACCTCCAAGACTATAGCTACCTGTTCAAATGCATGACGCATAGATCCACTCAATATATAAAATCAAAACTCTAATAATTATTTCAAGAATCGTCACCAACGACGTTAATCAGATGGAGTCTACCTTGTAGAAAATTTAAGACATGAAGCAAGAAAAAGAGCACCATTAGGGTCATCTTCCAAATGGTATATATTTTAATTTAGTTCATTAAAAATTGTGTATTGACGGGTAACTTGTCTGTCTACAATTTCTTTCAAATCAGATCTCACCAGAGAAAATATGAAGTCCAAGAAAGAAAATTTGTTTGAAAGTCTCTTGATCTTGGAAGACTTGTTTTTCTGTTTTCATACTGTTTTCATACTTCAGGCTGATGCCTATATATATATATATATATATATATGTATATATGTAAGCAACTAAACCTATTCCCCGATAAGCTCTCAGTGCAGCACAAAAATGGAGAAGTTTGCCACCCTAATCTTGGTTTGCAGCTTCCTCATTGTCCTTGTTTTGCTGCTTTCATGCCAAGCAACATCTGACGAAGTTGGTAAGGGCATTAATAACTTCATGTTGATTATTATTTTAACTATTTAGAAATACAGAATGTGCCCAAAACAGTTTCATTATTAATCTCTCTTTTGGGTAGGTTATGCATTTTCTGAAACAAACATGTCATTGTGGCCCTTGGCTCTCGGCCATTTTTGCACAAAGGAATTTCAACTTTTCTTGTTTTGTATGTATATATATATACACACACATGCATATAATTGAGGTAGTAAGTTGGCTGAGACCTAGCTTAACTTATGGTTTGCTTGCTTTATAAAGTTGGCCACTGGTAGTGCTGTTATGGAATTTTGTTATTAGTCCATTGCTTCTCATCTTTGTTAATATTCTTGATGGTGCAGAAGATGAGAGGGAGTTTAATTATGAAGATGACAGTGAGAAGGGGCCAGCTCGATGGGGAGAGATTCGCCAAGAATGGAGCATGTGTAACAAGGGATCGATGCAGTCTCCGATCGATCTGTTAGATGATAGAGTTGAAGTAGTGTCAGATTTGGGGAGACTTCAGGGTAGCTACAGGCCTTGCAATGCAACTCTTGTGAATAGGGGCCATGATATTATGGTAAGATAAAAGAGAGAGCTAAAGGTGCACTTAAATTGGGTTTGGTGAAGTTCAATATTTTCCTTTAAGTCCCTAAGGAAAAAGTACTTTTACCAAATATTAATCATCATATGTTTGAACAATTTGTGGCTGCAGTTGAAGTGGGAAGCTGATGCAGGATTTATACGAATAAATGGAACTCTGTATCAGCTCAAACAATGCCACTGGCACTCACCTTCTGAACACACCGTCAATGACAAGAGCTCTGATTTAGAGGTGCATCTGGTTCATCAGAGCCCAACTGGAAAGATAGCCGTGACTGGAATCCTGTATAAGATTGGGGAGCCTGATCCGTTTTTGACTTCGGTAATTAATCTCTTGAGTGATGCTACATTTACCACATTTATTGACTACATTATTGACCACATCTCTCATGTAGTCGAAATTATATAGTTTTATTTATCTCTCTCATGTTTGATGTGCTTAATTCTGTCTTTGTGTTTAGATAATGGATTATTTAGCAGACATCTCTCGTACCAGTGAAAAGCAGAAAGTGGTTGGTATGGTTGATCCAAAGCAAATAAAAACAGGCAGTATAAAGTATTACAGATATATTGGCTCTCTTACAATTCCTCCTTGCACACAAGATGTTATCTGGACAATTGTTGAAAAGGTTAGTTTCCTTTCCTCTGCTTCCCTAACCAAAACATCATAATATATTTTCTTGTGACAAATTTTTTTATCTGAATCTTATTTGAATCATCAGGTGAGGAGTGTCTCAAGTGAACAGGTCAAATTCCTCCGCGTCGCTGTTCATGATGTAAGTTCAATCCTAAATCTTTTAATGTGCAAAATATACATGCATTGATAATTTGATACTTTCTGTGTACTAATGTGAAAGATCTTGCAGGAGTCAGACACTAATGCAAGACCAGTTCAACCGAGAAACAGGCGCGTCGTGCAACTTAATAAACCCACAGTAGAGGAAGAGAATTGAATCTAGCTAGAGTTCTATGGCTCAAGTATATATCACCAACCTGGAGGAGATGTGCAGGGTCTGGTTTAAATAAGCAACTTATGATCACTAGGGTTCCTCTAGCTATGTTCTTTTGTACACCATTTTTCCATTTCTTCTCCAAGTTTTCTTTTTTTTGGTGGGGGAAGCTTGGACCATGTTAAATTACTTTTCCTTTTTGTTACATATAAATAATTCATATTAACTTCCGAGCATAACTGTTCAAGCAATAATCAAAATCCCACTTAGAGAAAGTGGAAGGCAGAAAGATGAGGAGAATTAAGTAGAAAACACAAGGGTGGAGGGAAGAGCAGCATCATATAAAGCTCATCTTATCAGATTTTAGAGGATTAGATCAAAAATATTGAACAAGGAGTGATATCATATCCACTTGCAGCAAGGTTGACACAAATTATCAAATGGTGGCCGTGTTGAGAGTGCAAATCCCACGTCGGAGAATTTAAAGAGCCTTGCACCTTCCATTACTCTTCGTTTTTATGGGGGAAAAAAATTATTAGGCTGAAAAGCTTCTAGTACTCTAGGTGGTCCATAAAACATTAGAATTAAGGGAAGTATATACCAAACAAGTGGAAGCAACAAGTTCTTGGCGTCACCAGAAAATGAAAATGTATTAAATAAGTCTCTTCAGACAACATGTGATGTGAGCAGTGACCAAATGGAATCTAACCAGCCATATCTTCCAATTACATACCCTTGGATGCATGCTTGTCTCTTATCTAAGAACTGATGTAATACACTAAAACATGAACAATAATTTAAGAGGGTAATAATGAAGAAAAATAACTTTAAAGTAATGAGTGGCTTATTTTCGGATCATGGGGATCATGGTTCATGCTCTAACCCTTCTTTTTCAAGTTATCCAATTCCTTTCACCCGCATGATTTAACTGTTTCTTTCTAATAATATTAAGGTCCATGAATATAAAGCACAGGACGTTCATACATTACATAACCTGATATTAGAGACATAAACAATATGTACAAAGGAGGCATAGAATCACTTATGATCCAACTTTAACAACCACAGGTTTTACACCATTACAGTTCAGTGGACAAGTGTTCTTCCATAATCGGTGACCAATCTGGTTCTTCGTTATTGATCAAATTCTAATCAGACCATTCTGGCAAGGACTTTCATGATATCATCGATGGACGGCCGATGGAGAGGGTCATCCTCCACACAGGCCTTTGCTAAAACAGCTAAGCATAAAGCCTCTGCAAGAGGATAGTCCTCCAGCTGCGGATCCATGAAGCTCCTAAGTTGTTCGAGGAAACCACCTTCGCTAGCACCTCCTCCCAAAAACTTGATGGACTCTTTGAAAAACTTTCCATCAATGTCCTCTCTTGCTGAGATGAGCTCAAGCAAAACAACTCCAAATGCAAAAATATCCACCTTCTCAGAAGCTGAGCCATGCAGAAGGTACTCTGGTGCAACCCATCCTTTGTCATTTCCTTCAGAAGATCCAAACGCAGAGATAGTTCCAATATTCGAAAGTTTTGCCCTCCAATTTTCTGTCACAAAAATGTTTCTAGTATTTATGTCTAGGTGTGCACATGAAGGGAAAGTACAACAGTGTAAATAGTGAAGTCCTGTAGCAATATCGAAAGCTATTTGTGTTCGTCGATGCCACTTGCGAGGAGTAATAGATGGACTAGACAAGCAGTCCCTCAAGCAGCCATTGCTTGGATACTCAAACACCAGATAAGACCAAGCCAAGTGATTTTCTCCATAAGAAACAGCCTCTAAGTTCAAGATGTTGATGTGGTTGATTTTTGAATGTACATCAATAACATGGCTGGTATCTTCAAACCGCATCTGCTTGATCATCACTTCAACATTATTTATCAACCCCCTATAGACCAGAGAACCAATCTTGTTTTCTTCATTGAAATCCCTTGTTGCTCTCCTGAGTTCTTCTAAGCTATAATTGAACAAAGAATACTTCAATCCAGCAAGAATATCCGGAGATAAACATGATGAAATTGGAGAGCTTCTGCCCGTTTGACCGGATTTAAGAGGGCTTCTGACTGTTGAACATGAAATTGGAGAGCTCAAAGCAGTAAAGGACTGGAGCTTCTCACTCTTCCATTTCTGTAAGGCCCTTCTATACAAAATTATAAATGCAATTAATGCTGCAAGTAGCAGAGAAAACCCAACAACAGACCCTGCTATATACAATTTTTTCACTTTTGTGATTTTAACTGTTTTTTCCACAGGATTTGTGGGAAGAAAATCAGGAACTGGAGGTGGAGAATCTAGGATATTGAAGTTTAAGACTGGAGGTGCTCTCAAGGGAACTAAAACGGTTGTTTTTGGAAATACAGTTTGGCTTGGTCCTAAATGATTTACGGCCCATAAATCTTCAGGAGAGATGCCAAACTTCTGGCTCAATATGATTGGTCTGTCGCCTTCTACGAAAGGGTATGTCACAAGGTACTTCACTCCACTACTGCTAGCTAACTTATCAGGACAAGCACATCTTAGAGGCAAAAGAAGCTCAGTACCAACCTTAAGCTTGTTTTCTTGGGACAAGTTTTCCTCACGAAATGTAAAGGACTTAAGCAAGCCTTCGAAAATGCCACAAGCTATCTCGGAGTATGATGTGTTTTCGGAAACCATGTAGCTGAAACTTGCCTGAAAATATTGACCTGAGCAAGAACAGTCAATTGGAATAAGAACCTCCCTACCTGCTCTGAGTGCCTCAGAAGGAGAAGTAAGATTGTTGAGCCCAAGCAGGGCATCAGAGTCCATCTGAAACAACTCTGAGATATTCGAAACAGTCTGAAAATGCGGGTTGGCTCGGTAGACCAAGAATGTTCTGCAAGAATTTTGGAACATATTGCAAATGTATCTTGAGCCTGAATAGCTAGCATCAGAAGCACACCCAGTTGGATCATAATACTGCTGAGCATAGCTTAAATTTAGGCAAACCAAGATGAAAAAGCAGAGATAATATTTTTTTTTTTTTTTTTTTTTTTTCTGATATCAAAAAGAAAATGAGAGGAAGAATGATTTGGTTTAGATGAGATACTGCTAAATTAGTTAGTTGCTGATCGGAGAGCTAGCAATGAAAGATAGATATTTCATTTTAATATTTCCAGGTCCGGCCAATATGCATGGTCAAAAGTATAGTCAACTTTAAATTAAGGAATAAGCAACCACAAAGTGCCATAAATGGCCGGCTGTAATAGCAATTGCCAGATGGGAACAGATTATAGTATTGGTACAGTTTGACTTGTTTCTATGTGTTTTTTGCAATCAAGATCCTCTATGACTTGTTTCTATAGTCATCCCTTGCATTTTCAAATCTATTTCTTATTTTTTCTTTCTTTTTTAAATTTATAAGCAGATTGCAAAGGATTTATAACTGAAGTCGTTATGAGTATTTACCCTTAAATCTGAGGTCCTAGGTTTAATTCCCTCCCCTCCCCCACCTCCCAAAATCGCTTCTATAACAAAATTAAAAAAATTAAAGAAGCAGTTTTGAACGTGGATGAGTCGAGTGGTATGCTGAAGAAAATACTTTCCCTTTCTGGTACATAATCGGCGTACATGGTGTTAATTCTCAAGTGGAGAATTCTTGTGGGCCACCTTTTTTGTAGTTAAGTTTGACCCTCTTATTAGAGAGTAAGATTCTTGTAAGCACAAATGCGCAAGGCATCTTCTGTGATAATTGCTGATAACTTGTAGAGTAAGTAATGCTATTTCTAATAGAGGTGGAGTCCAACCATATAAAGTGTTCTATTAGAGAGGTAGTTCATAATAAATATGGTACATCTAACATTTTCCATAGTAATATGGGTAATAATGACGATATTTACACTCACACTTTTTGAAGATATTCACATAATGTTAGTATGAAATTGTGTTGGCATTTCCTAAAACTTAATATAGGTTTGGAAGTGTCATTTAGCGGGCATGTATTCAATTGAGATTTTAAAAGACTATTTATGTATAAGTAAGTCCAGTGGATTTTAAAAGACTATTTAAGAATGTAATGACTTATAAGATTTTTTTAAAAGATTTTTTATACTCGGGATTTTTTATGTTTGGATTTTAAAGATTTATATCATAAGAATTTATAAGATTTGAAAGGACCATATGAATTTTTTATTTGTACGATGCTAACCAACCAACTTAGTTGGATGAGGACCAATGTCTAGTTCAATGATGCACGAATTCTTCATCAATTTCTTCTTCCTCTATGTCATTACCTTCATACATGCTCAGTTGTGGCATTATATGAGACTGCAAAACAATAAACAGAAGAAAATAGTACCAATTTATGAGGCTGCAAAACATTATAATACATTCTATGATAATACTTAGAACACACAATCATGGCATACGAAAACACACTGTCACCATAGTAATGTAAACTAGCACCTCAAAGCATGTACTTTTCAATCATCTGGTGAGGAACAGTACCCAAAAAATGGCTATTCTTTGAATAAATAAATGGCAATGTTTTGAATGAAATATGACAGAAAAAAGTCAGCTAGTGGTTAAAAGAGCTTGTCTCTGCACTCTAATGAAAAATATATATATAAATAAATGCTTGTTTTTTTTTTTTTTTTTTTTTTTTTTTTTTAGGAAAGACTTCATTCAATTAATCAACATGACAAAGGAATGTCGGCATGGGTAGTATGGCCTCATTAAAACCTCCCTAAAGAAAACCCGATGGGAAAAACTTCAGGGGAGGAAAAAGAGTGCCACATATGTCCGATTACACATGAAGATATTAAATCAAACGACAGTAGGCTCGTGCCAATCATCATAAACAGCATCCATAAGCCACAAAGGACCCACATCCAACCAGAACGACAAACTTTGATCGCGCAGACTGAAGCGGGCAATGCGATGGGCAGCCTTGTTCGCTTGGCGAGGAACATGTCGAACAGCAGTAGACGCGGACCTGACCAGAAGGCATCGCACTCCATCCATATATATATGGGGGCGGATCCGTGGCACCATATTTTTGACACAATTTTTGACACAATTTTTGAGCCATTAGATTACTCCGCTTTTAATGGTTGAGATTAAATATGAGATGGCAAAATAATATTTTTCTCTTTAATTAATATTTATACATTGGGATTAAAATTCTGATACCATATTAATTAAGAATTCATTCTTTCTCTTCTCATTAATTATCTTTAATTAATTAATTCTCTCTCTCTCTCTCTCTCTCTCTCTCTCTCTCTCTCTCTCTCTCTCTCTCTCTCTCTCTCTCTCTCTCTCTCGTCCCCAAACCAGCTTCTTAATTAATATTTGCATTGTGGTTTTATATCATTTTCATTTTCCTCCCAAATTTCTTCCTTTCACTTTTTATTTTAATGTCTAAGAGGTGGAAGAGCTGACTGTCATCAGAGAATTTATTCAATGAAATACTTCATTGATCAAAGCTATAGGCAAACCTGACTGGTTTCATATCATTTTCATTTGCCGATTCAATCAAAGGAAAGAGAGAGAGGCGTGAGAAGTGGGATTCTGGTTTGGGTATTTAGGTTTTGGTGAGATTGTTTATTTATTAGACCCTAATAAATATTTGAGATTAAAGAGGCAGGAGATATTACGTCTTCCAGCAAAAAGGTTGGAGAGAGAAAAATTTCCTTTTATTTTTATGAGAGAGAAAATAAAATTAATGATTGTCTATTTAAAAAAATTAAAACTACTTGCCATATAATATTTAATCTCAACCATTGAAAGTGGAGTAATCTAATGGCCCAAAAATTGTGTCAAAACTTGTGTAAAAAACGTAGTGCCACGGATCCGCCCCCTATATATATATATATATATATATATATAAGATTTAAAACCGTATACATAAAGAACACTAATGAAATATATATATATAGGGAACTTCTCCATTGCGAAGTCAGAAGATGCGGATTGGTTACGGATTTCTGTTTTTGACCGTTGGATGATTTCAACGCTTCAGATTGGTTTTTTTTTTTCTTCTTTCTTCCTCTCTTCTTTCTTCCTCTCCCCGATTTCAGTCTTCTCTCTCTCCTCTTTCTTTTTTTATTAACATTCCTTCTATCTCTCTTGCTTTTCTTCTTCTTTCTTGTCTCTCCCCGAGTTCACTCTTCTCTCTCTCTCTCTTTCTTTTTTTCCTCTTCCTCTTGTCATGGGTGATTTTTTTCTTCTCCTCTCAGCTGGAAAACTGGGTGTTTCCCCTTCTCTCTCTCCTCTCTCTTTCATTTTTTTCTTCTTCATTTTCTGAGAATGATTTGGCTACAATGTGCTGGGGTTGGCTTGGGGCAAAAAATTGTCTCGACGTCGGCTTCTATTGGCCTCTTCTTCTACCTTTGTTCAATTTTTATTTTTATTTTGGTAAAAAAATTGAAGAAAAAGATAATTAAAAAAACCCACAGACGCAGACCCATTCACTCCCCCCATCCCCTCTGTTATTTCTCCCCCGTGGCCTGAAGAAAAAAGGTAAACAAAAAAACTCCACTGTAATAATGTATTTGCCCTCTTTTGTAATAGTTGACCACTGCTAGGAAAGAAGAAACAAGGGGGGGGAGAGAGAGAGAGAGAGGATAGGGAAACGCAGGAAAAAAAAAAGAGAAACGGAGAGAGAAGAGATAAGGAATAAAGGGAAAAGGCAGATTCTTGAAGCTGAAGTCTGGGGCTTTTTTTTTTGGGCTTCAGCTGGCTATTGACAAGGGTATTCGCGAGCTCATTGTTGAAATGGATGCTGCCACAGTTGTCCAGCTTGTGCAGAAACAAGAGGAAGAAAAGCAAGAGAGAAAGAAGGAAAGGAAAGAAAAAAAGAAAGAGGAGAGAGAGAAGACTGAAATCAGGGAGAGGAAGAAAGAAGGAAAAAAAATCCAATCTGAAGCATTGAAATCATCCAACGGTCAAAAACAGAAATCCGTAACCAGTCCGCATCTTCTGACTTCGCAATGGAGAAGTTCCCTATATATATATATATATATATATAAATAAGACCATATAGTACATGATAGCCATAAACAGACAATAAACGTAGACCATATATATATATATATTTATTTATATAAGACGCAGACCATAAACATCAATTGTTTGATTCTCCCATTTGTTATATATAATAATACATGATAGCAATATGGTTTATATATGAACAGCCTGACATGAAGCAGCAATTGATGACGAAGAAATAGAGCATGTGAATGGCCATAAAGCTATCATATATATACCCACGAAGCATCAATAGTTGTGAAGGGCTATAGAGCTATCATATATAAACCTACGAAGCAATACCACCAACAGTAGCAACAAACCCACGAAGGACTAAAGACAATCCATTTACAAAAACATGGCATATAGGAAATATACAGATAATAAATGCAAGAAGACACAACATGATAAGGAGGCAATACCTTGTTCACGAAGAACTGTTCAACTTCACGAAGAGCTGTTCATCTTCTCTAGTAGAAAAAAAAAAAATCTCACGTGAAAAGTCTGATGGGTTAGGGTGAAATTTGGGATAGGGTTTGGTATTTATACCTCCCACTAAAGAGTCACACAAATTCCTAATTTAAAAAAAATCCATCGAAATTAGCAAGTTTTTGAATACCAAAAGACTTTTTGTTACTTGTTTAAAGTCTTGATTGAATACCACTAGATTTGGACACCATCTTTAAAATATCCTAATAGTCAGGATTGAATACCACAAGACTTATTTAGATTATTTAAAAGTCTTCATTGAATACCACAAGACTTATTTATTCCAAAATAGTATTTTTAAAATTCTAATTGAATACACCCCCCGTAGGGTTGAAAGTGAATTGTTGTCTCTAATTTTAAAAAACTGCAGGATTGAAACAGCTCGGCAATTCCCGAATAACAGAATTGTGACTTAACATGTTTGAGACATTTGATCCAAGAGTAAGCTATGTCATTTCTCATGAACACATGATAGGAACGTTTTTGAAATTTAATATGATTTTGTTTGCATGATTTTCTCTAATCTTAAGTCAATCAAAATCCCTTTAGGAGTGGATTTCATTTATTTATCAATCAATCAATCTTTGTTTTGAAGGACTATTTTTCAAAGCTTTCATCATATTTTCAGTCTATAAACTTTGGAAAACTGAGTTTTTATTTAAGATAAATCATCAAGTGTTCCATGTTTACTTGGTGATTTATCAAACACTTTTATCATTCATATTACATTCATTTGCATGTTCGGTGAGTCATACAGTTGAGGGCACCAAGGTTGTGGTGGCGGTTTTTCTTCGGTGAGTTTGAATCGAACACGACCAGTATCGGATTCAACAAAATGAGAGTTGGAAGAACTCCGGCGAGCTTGAAGCAATCGTGACCAATATTGCGTTCAACATAAGGAGTGTTGAAAGATTATCCCGTGATAGAAGTTGAGTTATGAAGAAGTGGGGTAAACATTGTCTAGAATTTGTCTAGGATAAGTGTGTGAGTACTTTGTGGGAGCAAATATTTCAGCTTCCAATCACAAGGTGCCACATGGACAAGAAGAATATAATCACCAATCAAAGTATGAGATATTATCTTTATTTTGGAATATAATCACTAATCAAAGATAATATCATCATTTTGGGATATTATCTTATTTTGGGGATATTATCATTAATTAGAGATTTAATTCTAATCCAAATCCTTAATTGACTTAATCCCTCCATTTAAGGGAAAGAATATCTTCCTTCCAAACCGGAATTATTCTTTGAAAAACCCTAGATACGCACAAGGTGATCCTAAACCTAGCTCTAAATCCCCCGAAACCTCTCTCTCTACCCATCGGCCACCTCCATTGCCTCCTGCCACTCCCTCTCTCATCTCTCCCACACGGCAAAGTACCACCACACACGGCTTCGGCTGCCCGGCTCTCCCCATGAGAGAAAACTCCGTCCAATTTAGCTATTGCCGCATCTTTTCTCAAAGATCTAATTGAACTAACTTAGGCATTGGAGGGCCTTTGGCCAACAATCCTGGGTGTGGTCTTTTACTCCTATTTGATTTACAGGAATTGAGGAAGAGAGAGAAGAAAGCTCAAAAAGTGAAGGATGTACATGTGAATATTCTCCCGTGAGAGATTTGCACAAACATTCTTATTGTAATCATTGTTCTATAGTGGATTTTCTTTGGATTGAGCAATCCCGTGGATTTTCCCCAAAGGTGGGGTTTTATCACGTAAAATAATTCTTCACTTGTTCTTAATTTTTACATTCTGCATATTTAAGGATTGATACAACTTATCAATCCCTTAGGTATGTTTTGATTTCTTTATTACGCTTAATCGTTGCAAACTTACATTTCACCCCACTGCTATCCTACAGGTAATTTCACATAACAATTTCTATAATCACTAATACAATAGTTCCACCGGGCACAAAATGTTCTCAAATAAGCTTATTTGGAAAGGAACTCATAATCACAAAATGTTCTGCCATACTTCATTTAATTTTTCTTTTTGCTACCCAAAAAAGAGCGGGTTCTACAAGATTAGGCCAACTTTTATTTAAGTCTGGAGAATTGTAATTAAATATAAGAAAAGAAGTTGGTGTCGGGAGTAATTATTTTCATTTAAATCTAGGCCAACTTTATAATTCGATTACCTTTCAAACTCTGTCATGTGCTCATCTTTCTATTTTCATACTCCCTTTTCAGTCTATTGTGTTGCGCCATAATCAAGATTTACCATATTTAACAAAAGTCGCTTCTGCTTTCAAGAATTGTTCAGTCTCAAAAGTACCCTTTATACTCTTGTTTTTTTGGTCTCCTGATTTGAATTCAAAATTAAAAAACCCTTGTTTTCTTTTTTCTGTTGACATTAAAACAATTTCAGCATTTTTACTGTTTTTTTCGTTGTTGACAAAGTTAGGAAGGGGACGGGGAAACTCACACGCACGAATATCATTATATTCGAACTGAGGACCATTTGATGACACACCGAAGACCTATCCAACCTAACACCTAAT